GGTAAATTGGTTTAAAACAGGGTGTACTTACTTGAATCGGTCAAAAACAGGGCTGCAGTGGGAACGCTTCTATTTTTAATTATCATGACCCCTTTTCAGAACTAACTGTGTGGTGTACCGCAAAAATTTAATAAATTTAGTACGTAAATGACTATGCGACAACAACAACAGCAACGTGAATATTGAACATGGGTAAAAACACAAGCCTCCTCATAGCTTTGCTCTTTCAGGGAGACTAATAACAAAAAACTTCAAATGTCAATCATTCTTTTAAAATTTTCATTCTTGGAATCAACCAGTCAAATAGTTAAAAAGTATAATTTCATCTCCTTAATGAATTAATATGGAATAAAAATATATGAAACTGAGTATGAGTTCACCTGATATTGTAATATTAAATTCACATTCAGCGGTGTTTCCATCATTGTCAGTGGCAACATATAGCACAATTGTTAATCCAATTTGAAATGAAGCAGGTGGACTGAAATTGCTGGTAACATTCACCTCTCCTGAGTTGTCCATTGCTTTGACGGACCAATTCACTAAAGCAGATGCACTCATCACACCTGTGTTCTCATAAATGCTACTAGGACATTCTGTGAAAACTGGACTTTCAAAATCTTATAATAAGAAAAAAAGAAATTAATAAAATTAACATTAGCAAGAAAATTAAAGCATTTTTTTTGTATTTACTTTTAAATTTATTTTTAATTGTATACAAAACACATTAAAAAATACTTCAGTAAAAAGTAATGAATGTTTGTGGTCATTTTATTTTTATTTATTTCAATAATATGTTTGATGGCTGAAGAAATAAATGACTTAATTTAAATAAGCAACAAATCAAAAAATAAAAATAATAAAAATTCCAATAAATTATAAGAGCTCTGATGTAGCTAGATATAAAAGAAGGCCAACAACATTGTAAAAAGAAATAAGTGGCCAAGCCATAAGGCAAGGGCACCGCCTATGATACAGCTTTAACTACAGCGCTAAGTTTGAGCCGCTTTTCAACTAGGGTTTGGTTCGTAAGGACTTAAAGTGTACACTTCTGGCATGTGTGCACTTTAAAGAACCCATTGCATCTTTTGGAGGCTAGGTAGGCACAGACCACGCCTACACGCAATTCGTCACAATCACGCTGTGAGTTATGGGTTATTCTTCTACCTTTACTTATACACAGTGTGAAATATACAGTAGTTGCGTTCTATACCTCTACACAGCCGAACCTATCAACATCCAACCAACATCAAAGAGTAGCAGTAACAGACTAATACAAGAATAGCATGGACATAATCAATTATCATCTTAAAACCTACCTATTTGAAAAACAACAGAAACAGCAACAACAACAACAACAACAACTAGAACAACAACAATAATAATATGTTGGATTTATATAGACAACAGCAACAACCAGAACAACAATAATAATATGTTGGATTTATATAGCTCTTCATCATAGGCGTAGATCCTGGGGGGATGGGGGATATATCCCCCAATATTTGACAAGGGGGGATGGTCCATTGTATCATCCCCCCCCCCCAATATTTTGACTATGTATGGGATAAATGGGGGGTTAGGGTTATGGTTATATAGCTTCCTTTTTATTCTTGTCTTTATTTTTCTCTTCTCTTTTTCTTTTCTTTTCCTTTTCTTTTCCACTTCTTTCTCTTTCCCTCCTTCTCCCCTCTTTCTTTTCTCTTATTACCCAGCCCGGTACAACGGCTTGGTCAGCCCAGTAAAAATATTCAGGGGAGGGGCAGTCTTCCACCCTCCCCAACCACTGGCTAACACGCCAATCATCCTCCCAATGATGAATACTTTTCTACGCCACTGCTCTTCATGCCAACAAAGCCTCTCCAACCGCTTCACGTTATAATTTTTTGTTATTTTTCACTTTCATTTTTGTTTTAGTTTATGTTTCTTCCTATGTTCGATTGTCATGCTTTGTCTTGATTGTCATGTTGAAAAAGGGGTAAAAAAAAGAAATAATAATAATATGTTGTCTTATAAAGCACTTCATACCTCAAGGCCTCTAAGTGCTTCACATTATTATCATAGGTCATTAGATCAAGCAAATATGGAACACATACTCAGCTCTCTGGGTAGAACTTCCTAACATTGAAGCTGTAATCAGCGCATTTTGTGTTTAAACCTACAACTTGTACTCATGGGTGGAAAGACAACAGGAGGTAAAGTGCCTTATAGTTGAGAAGCAGTACTGCCACAGCTGGGCCAACCACCCAGCATAAGCCTACCTGATATTACTATTGTGACATAACATGTAGCTTCATTTCCTGTAGGCGATGCACTATCAGTGAAGATGTATTCAATTATAGTTTCTCCAACTGGAAATACACCAGTAGTCTCAAAATCATTGTAAGCTGCATCAATAGTCTTGGCAGTTGGATCGATGTCTGTATAGTTGGTTGAGATCATGGCCACTTGAACATTATCCATGATGGTAATGT